ACTTCCCTTCACCGTTACCGAGCCTTAAAAACTATTAAATATGATATATCGATATTATATTAAAAAATTTATCATATTACATGTATTTGTAACGATAACGATAAATAAAACTCTTATTAATTATATTGTCACACTATATTTTCTGGTCAATCATCATTCATATGTTCTAACCAATCACTATTAACTCACGTGATCTGCCCCCGCTTTAGACGAGCCCCAGAAAAGGCAACGTTTAGAAGATCGACAACGGTAATCGATCTTGGCAAAGAAATGCGTAATAGCTATAGTTAATTGAAGACCAATTAGGCTTAGAAATTATCAAACAAAAGAAACATCTTAATATACACTTACCCAAATTCCAACGTCAAATACGATATCCGTAGATATCGACACAGGCAAAACAAATTGTCGTCCAAAACTCTTGCTCTCCCAAAAACCGCCATTTATAGAAAAATCCTTCCTTTTTAATAGAAACACAAAATCCTCGTAACAATACGTATAGAACATTAGGAATATTTGATCGCCTAAAAAAAAACAAAAAATCAAGTACTTGAATAGAATAATCAATGACGATAACTAAATAAATTTATAATTTACCAGCAATCTGAATTCCTGTCATACGACATTTACAGGACTTTGGAAAATTTGCAAAAATTATTGTTCATGAGACGCAATTTTATACCATCTGTTTCTTTTTTATTTTTACATATTATCCTGGAAATTCCGACAAATAATACTTCAAAAAATGTATGAAGGATTTTACATGGAATATTGCATCTGGCTTTTTAACCGTCGAGTCTCCTTTTCGAGCTTTGCTCAACTCACTTCTAAGTTCTGCATTATAATGAAAAATATATTAAATATATTAATAAAAATAATAAAAATAATACTTTGTTTAAAATATACTTACGCATTTAAACATGCTTAGAGTTTTTGAAGTAATCGATAGACAATTTCGGAAAAATAAGTGCCTTCGATTAATATTTCTCATTTTCTGGTTGTAAAATAGGATTTTGCCATGTTTTATCGAAATTATAATCATTATCGGACATAGATCGCTAAATTGGTTGAAATTCATCCACCAACTTAATACATTTGTCAATAGTTTTTTGAGAAAGTTCTGGTACCATATTGTTTGCTACAGGTAATGTATGTATGACCTCCAAAACGATCATAAAGAATCTGACCAAATAAACGGGACCGCCAAATGAAATGACTGGCTAGAAACAAATCATTGAGGACAGATCATTTACACTCGGACCTGCCCCACGAGCGGCCATATCGTCCCAAGTGGCGGGGACTATTCCGCATAATTGTCTTCGGACCCACGCAAAAGTGAAAAATAGAAGTAGGCAAAAGTGAAAGTGGAAGTCAAAAGTGAAAGTGGATGTAGACAAAGTGGATGTAAAAAAAAAGTGGACAAATAATCGGCAAAAGTGAAAGTATAAAAATGAGACAAAAGTAACAGAGGACAGACAAATAATCAATAAAGATTAGTAGACAAAGTGTAAAAGGAAAGTAAGATGAAAAAGTACTAATCAAAAGCAATTGTAAAAAAAAGTAGACACCCCACTCCCAATCCTTATATATATTTTGTAACGATCGACCAATAACGCGTCATGTTTATACTGACGTTAGCACAATTATGTAATACGTAAATTAATAACGTATTTTCTGTGTTATTACACGTACAGTACGCAATACATAACGTGTTTATAGCATAATTAATAACGTGTTTTCTGTGTTATTATACGTACTGTAATATTAGTACGTGTAATAACACGTTACGTATTACGTATTACATAGTTGTGCTAATATCAGTATAAACATAACGATAACACGTTATTTATTGATCGTTCATTATAAACGATCAACGTTCAATCCGTAATCGATCTAATCCGGATTTGACCGACTGATTATAATAATCGATTTGGAAAATTCAGAGTTTAATACCTTGGATCGAATACTGTATACTACACGTACTTGGAACGTCCAAATGATCCGATTTATCATTAAATGAATCGACGGAATCTGAATGATCCGATTTGCAATTAACTGAATCGACGGGTCATCCGAATGATCCGATTTGTGATTAAATGATGGATCATCCTTAGTTCCAATCGATTGACTTGGCTATGAATGATCGATTATATATATAGCAAAAAATGCTCGATTCGGATCTCTAATGCTGATGACGATGACGGTAACGCTGAAGATGACAACTGTGTTGTAATTATAATATGATGATGAATGATGAAGAATAACAATAATAATAAATACATTTTTTCTTAGTATTTCTGGACCAAATTTATATTTTTCCATCTGCACCGACATAACAATGATTTCGTAATACGTATGTTAAAGAATTAACCTTTAGTTGAGTATCCGCAAAATGCATAAAACCATGCCTAAAATCCATAAAATAATTTAACTATAGTTGATTAATTATACATGTATTATCATTAATGTGCATATTTACATACCTCCCCCCATTCTAAATCCTTGCGTATATGTTTGAAATTAGAGTAAATGGCACTTCTGATCCAAGTATCAATATCTGATGCTTTAATACTGACTAGTTCTTGCGTGTTATTGCTTCCGAAAAATATAGAAAACTTTGTTCCATGATAGTACTCTGAATTAAAAAAAAAAAAAAGAAAGATCAGCATCTTTTTGAGAAAATTGGTTATATATAGGTTTTTTTGCCACTGATTCAAGTGATGATTGAGACTTCTTTTTGTTAGAAGTTCAAGTTCAGTCGTGAAAACGTTCACAGGTCTTTTTATTCTTCAAACCCCTAATTATTACATCATTGTCGTTTGACTACTCCACAATTGAATGTGAAGGTGGCAATTTTTTTTGGCGGCAAATGTTTACACACAGTAAATCTCTAGATCGACGTTCTTTACACACACCTGTATGTTTTGTACAGCCATCGATGTCGTGTATAAGATATTTATCATGACTCTGCTCACTAAATCTGCTCGTGCATAACCATAAATATCTTTTCCATAACGATAATTGGAACTAATATCGATATACTGTATTGGTATGTATCGGTATATATGTGTAATCTATTTTGATAAATTTATAATTTATCAGCATTAATCAAATTATCTTTATACATACCGATACATGAAAAATATTTGACTCAGCTTTATGCTTCCCCACTGACCTTTATTTTACGTAGCATTTATATGACGAATAAGTTCTCAAGTTCCACAACGAATTCTGCAAGTCTCTTCGTTCGTTCGAATGCACAATTAATGATCTATTTTAAATAGTAATCGCTCATTATGTTAACTTGAACTTTTCATTTCAATTTGTAATATTATCAAATTAGGTTTAATTTAACTAAACTTTCAAATAAAGTTACGTTTTTCGCTTTATATCTTCGAATTGTTTCATAATACGCGACCGCCAACAGTTCTTTATGGGATGTTTGTGAATAAACAAACTAATTTGTCATTATTTTCGCAACTTTATCATAGTTAGATCCTCCCGTGCCCAAAATTGAATGAGTAGTTGACGGTCAAAATCCGACCAATTCTTGACAAAATGGATAAAAAACGCTTACTTTTGTACAAACTAGTCTTTCTGAAATGGAGGAAGAAGATCACACGTCAGTTTTGCATACACAAAAATCTTCAATTATAAATTTTACTAATAAAACTATAAATAGATACCCGATCATCAACGTTTTTTACCCCGATTCACATTTTTTCTCTATTCTCTTTTTTGAAGCGACAAACGACTATAATGCAAGCGTCTACTAATAAGCGGAATGTGGACACTGTCGTATCGCTGGGAGGATCACTCGCAAATTAGTCAAAGTTGTCACGATACGCCCGAGCCTGCAATAACAAAAAAGGAGGCGCAATGCTCCGCACCATCAACTGTGATAATATCGTCAGAGTGTAATGTGCTCGACTCGAACCGGGTATATATTATTTCGAATTTTTTATAGTATTGATGTGTGTAGGGTTCTTTTGCGTTGATAGATCGACTACCTAGGTTACTTGTTACAGGTATACTTAGTTACGCTTGCTCTGCATCTAGGGCTTTTGACTTCGTATGTTGTGTTGTAGAAAGCGCATGATCAAGAGAAATTATTGGTTTGGTTCGCATAAAACATAATTCTAATCTTTTTAATATCGATTTTATTCGACTTTGTCCGTGCACCGTACATTAACATAGGACTCAGTTTGCGACCCGAGGACTATGTACACGCGATAAAATCCATTATATCGAAAAAGAGTGGAAGAGCAATCCCCTTTGTTCGTCGGATCACATAGCGTCAAAATTCGGGGAGGGGGATATCCATCGAAAGATTTATTAATTGAACATTAATTCAAAAGGCTAGGTTAGTTAATAATAATGAGATATCCAATACCCACCCAATTCTCTTAAACTGGTCGATGATGAAATAATTATTATAGATCGTGATGACGAAGCAAAACTCCAACTGATAATTTAAATAAACGATTGTGGGTCGCTTTCGGTCGCTGGTTGGGAGTGAAAGAGCCGGTTATAAGGAGAGACATACGCCGACATCTTCGATTAAAATAGATGAAACTTAAACACGCTATATATTCACAAAATAATAGATCACAGAATGCATCGAGTATAATCACCGCACATATTTCTCGAATGGAGAAGGCCCGATTAATACTATCTGCACGGGGTAATCTTCGTTCGTTTAAGAAAATAGTTCAGTTTCGTTTTATAACTGAGTTGGGGTGCGTGACGGACGTTGAAGGCAAAACGAGTTCGAATACCGCCGTACACATAATTGTGACCACTCGTCAAAATATCTTTCTCTTTGACTGAACAACTAGTCGCAGACAGTTACTTCAATTCACCTACCACCGAAATCAATATTGGAGACTTTTTTTTAGTCATCGTTGTACAGCTGGGAGAATGAGGATGTAGTCAAAGTTTGCGACGCTGATTGTTTCCATATGTATCCTAAACAAACAAACAAATATAATCACGATAACGATAAAAGAATAATCACAATAGAACGCTGATTGTTTCCACGTATCTTAAACAAACAAATATATATGAATTCCAACCACCAACAATTGAATTGGGAACAAAAATTGCGTCATTTATTTGAGATCATTAAAGGATTCATAATGAGGAATTTGTGCATCGTGACTTTCACCCTGGAAATATTAATACAGGATATCGATATTCCTCAGATCGCTGATTTTGGACTTACTAAACCAGCAGATATAGAAAAATCTGATCAAAAAATTTGCGGAGTACTTCCTTATATGAAAGCTGCAGATATTTATAGTTTCGGGATGATTGCGACCATTTGGTGAGCGGAGTCATAGTAATGGTCTCGTATTAGACATCTATAACGGAGTACGATACCAAATAATGTTCCCGGATGATGCAAATTTATTATTGAAAAATGTTGGGATCCTATTCTAGAAAACAGACCAACTGCTGAGGAACTTAGCATCTTTATAGGCTCTATCTACTATTTGTATAGTGAGTGGAAATTGAATACTTTACATTTTCAATACTACAATTCTTTCGAAGATTCTAGAACGGATAGAGAAATTAAAGAGTGTCTCAAACTAGAAAGACAGAGATTTAAAGAACTTGATGAGGAGATAAAATTGCAAAAAAACATGACTACAAATACAAACAAAAAGCAAAAAATCCACCCAAACGCAGTTTATACCAGTCGAATCATTGCCACAAAATGAATTTCAATTCCAAAACCATATTAATATTTTATGTCAAATAAAATATTTAAACTCTAAAATTGTCAGTTTGTATGTTCCAAACGAAGGTAAAATTACATTTAATATTATTTTACATTAATTATGAAATCAAAGATAAGGAAGATATGTCGAGTGTCTTACAAGAAAAACTAAAAATTCATGATAAAACACTCCCAACAAAATAAGACGAAAAGAAGAGCGCTGCTCTTTGTTAGAAGAAAATGGTAATTACTTTTGCTTCTGTTTTTGTCTTTAATTTACCTAATATTCGCAATAAGTATCTTCTATGGACTAAAATATATTAGCAACCTTCTTGGAATACGCTTCGCTTCGTAGTATTTTGATTATTTGATTTCTACTTCGAATTGGAAATACACGTACATGTAATTGAATATTGTGCTAATCCAACTTGGTTTTATCATTATACAATATGGTGTTATCGTTAAATCATAGAATTTAAAGTCACCACTTTAATCACGCATAAAAAACTCATTTGAGCCTCAAATAAAAATAAAATGAAATGATACAAGTTGAAAGAAATCTAAATTACATTACTCTTTCTTCATATCATATCTATCGCTACCCTTAAAGCAGTGATATTTATCGAATTTCTTAAGGGGTACAAATTTTACCCACTCTTTAAGTTGTTCAACCAAAGACGAATCGTATCTAGAAAGATGAACGTAAGAGGATAAAAATAGACTGAAATAAATCTGTCGTTTTTGGCAGAAATTAAGCATAGAAGTAAAATGTTGATTGGTAAGTAAAACAGCCTGGCCTAATCCAAGCCTTTTTATGGGGTTGGTTTGATTAGACAATAAAGTAGTCAATCCTTGTGGCGATAGTAAACAATTGAAATATAAGGAATCAATGTTGCTTTCTGATAATCCTATCCAAAATTCATCTGAAAAAGATTCAATGTTCGTTGCTTGTAACATTGAGAGCTGCTGTAGGTTTTGAAGTTTCATAATTGCTTGAAGGAATGACGGAATTGTTAGTTTGTCAAGGTTGATTTCCAAGCATAAAAGATTGGTGGCGTAACCTGCAATGCAGCTGAATAATGCATCACTGCAACCTTTGAGAACTGTAAGCTTTTCTAAGGTAATTCCAGATATCTTTATTAATGGGATCAAGATATCATTAATTCCAGAGCTATCGAAATATAATTGCCGCAAAAACTTTGGTCGTGGCGTTTCCCAACAATCCACAGTTGCAATGGATCCGAGATATCCTTCGCAATCAATGAATGCTACTGCTTCCAATTTGATAAATGTGCCAAGGTTTCTAAATAAAGTGATTACCCAATTTGAAACTTCGGAATGTACGAATTCGAGGCGAACTAAAGTGTTCCATTTGGACTTAAGAGCAAGAATAATTGAAAAATGTTTTTCGTTAAAATTATAAAAAACAGCGTGCTCTATATGTCTCTGTGATTCAATTAAGTCGCAAAGGTGACGAATAGCACTTTCAATCATTATATCAAAATTCACTTCCAAAAATGTGATACAATGGCTGTACGATTTTAACCCAAGAACCAAGTCATTGACATTCATGAGATCTTTGGTATATTTATCATATTCGTCAAATTCGTCATTTTCTAAAATGAATCGTCTTCCATGTAGCGCTACTTGTTTCAGGTTGGCCAATGCAATTGATACATTTGGGAGTGTCATGAATTTCAGAAAAGCGACATCATAATACCTTATCTGAATATAAAGCTTTTCTAAATTGGCAGTTCGGAAAATGAGCTTACAGAGCTGTGCTACGATTTTCTCTTTCATATTTTCAACGTCAAAATATTTTATCCAAATTGAATTTTCTGGGATAAACTCGTCGTGATATGAAGTGTCGCAATATACCATATATTCGAGATTTGCCCAATTTATTTCTTTAATAAACGCCGAGTACAGAAAAAGTGGACGAGGGCAAGATGCTGCGTAATCGACTCCGGAATCAATCAACTCTTTCCGTTCTTCTTCATTCATGCATCTTATTAACGTTTCAATAATTTTATATCCTTTTTCATGATCATAAGTTAAAGTATCGAACCACAACAATGGCATTATTGCTCGACACCAAGTTCGATTGACCAACGTTGCGGAAAATACTGTGGATAAATCCTCAACCAGGAATGAGAAAATTCTGGTGAAACACTCGATCGGTAGGTCTGAAATGGTAGTGTTGCCAACGATGCTCATTTCAGTGTGTTTGCTGCTACTTTTGATGATTTGCGTCGTATCCGTCTCCATTTGTTGTATTTACTTGTGAATTGATGATTGTGAAAATTTTTGGTTTCCCAGAATAGTGAGAGGGGTTTATGTACTGTAATCACTATTGTTATTGTATCACTCGAATATAACCAGAACGATAATGTTTGTGCAGCTCGGATACATGTGCATGTAATAAATACGTACATGTACATGTGTACATCGAAAAATAGAGAATAAAAAAAATGAAATGCTAATACATGTATATCGAATCAATATGTTGTTTTGAAAATTTAAAATTGAATAAATACAGTCGACTGTAACATACTAAATTAATGAGAAAAATATTTTAAAATAGCATAGCATCAAAATAACTAAACTCACTAATAATAGTAATAATATACCTTATCTTTTAACAATGTTCCTTGCAAATTTTTTCAAAAAAAATATTTAGACAATCTGAATTTGAGTGATACATAACTAAATGTGGGGTGACTCCATTTAAACGTAGAAACTACAACTAATTTTCTAGGTTATCGAAAACATCAACAAATGCTGTCCTTTCTGTTAATAATGTATTTTTTGGCGTATTTCCGTCGGTAATAGTCGGAATATTAGATTTAACCTCTATCTTAAGTTTAATGTTATAATAATATTTTTTAGTATATGTTTCTAGTGTTTCGGCGATATGCTTTACGAATTCTAGTATATATTTTAAGAGATAGTCAATTTCGCTTCGCGTTTCGGAATCTGAAGCTTGTAAGACCTCACTGAAGAAGTTTAGAAAATTCACCCATCGATTTACTACATGTACAGTTCTGGTGGAAAGTAATGGCGGTCGATTTTTATTAAAAATAAAAAAATTTTACATAATAAAAACAAAAAAAAACTGATATTTCTAAAGAACATAACTAAAACGTTATGTGTCCCAAATATCAATATTTTGTATTATTTCCTTCCATAGAAATGCATTGTTGAATGCGATTTTGCATGCTATGGATGCTGTTAAGTAACACCTCCTCCGAAAGATCATTCCACCTAACACGATAAAGGTCTCTTGTGACACATTTTGCTTTCGTTCCACCATTGCCTTAACCCTTTTCTCCAATTTCGCTTAAGAACTGCCCAAACATTCTCTATAGGATTGAGATCTGGACTATAAGATGGCCATGGCAAAACACGTTTTGGAAGTCGTGCTTTGAGATCGTTTTGGACGTCACCTGAGGTGTGCTTGGGGTCGTTGTCTTATTGAAAGAACCACCGCCAACGTCCAAACATAGTACGTAGTCGCATTTTCGTATAAGTGATTGTTGAGAATTTGACGATAAAGATGGCGATCCATATTTTGTGTAAATGTTTGCATGCCGACTTTCCCACGCACACAGATCGCTTCCCATATATGAACTTTAAATGGATGTTTTACCTTAGCGATAGGCGCAATTGGCTTACCGGAACAGGACCAAGCAAAACAGGTGTTCCGAGTCAACTGCAAAGTAGTTTCATCGGAAAATACGACTTTTTCCAATTATAATCGAGATGATCTTGTGACCATTGAAGCCGATCCTCTTTAGCACGTGGAGTAAGGAGTGGAACGCGTCTTGACAAAATGGAAACATAACCGAGCCTAGAAAGCTCGTCACGGACAGTTCGTTCACCAATCTCAAAGCCTGGGTGAGTTTCTTCAAGTTGTGCTTTGATTTTGGCTGCTATAACAAAATGATTTGATTTTATAATTTTTCCGATTTGGCGTCGTTTTTGTGCGAAGCTTTACGTGGACGGCCAGGGCGATGGATGACTGGAAGTTGACCATTTTTACGAAGTAAAGACACATATCGTTCACAAGAACGAAGAGGAACACCAGTTTTTTTTAGCAATTTCGGCGGCATTATGGCATCCTTTGTTCCAAAAATACTTCACGACTTCACGGTTCGATTTTATTGAGCTTTGTGTCATTTGATGGTAACGGTAAGTATACATTTTGGCAACAAAGTAAAATAAATAATGCTGCCGATTGCTTAATTAATCCATGTGTTTATCATGGGTTTGATTATGTTCCAGCCGAAGGCTACACTGCATAAATATGTATGACAGTGTTGCCGCCATTACTTCTGTACGTATTACACTTCGATAGAAAGCTCAGTTCAGACTAAGGATTTTGGCAATTGAAGAATCATATTAAATCAAACTGTTTTACATGTACATGTATTTCGGAATCCAGGAACGGACAAGCAGGTTTCTTCGATGAATTATTCAATTGATCGGATTTTTCTCCAAGATTGCTGTTTTCTTGTTTTTCATTTTGGAATTCAATATTGAGATTGTAATTGGATTTAAGTTTTTGATCTTGTTGAGTTTTTTTTCTCAGAGGTTCATAATCGTTTGTTGATTTTCACGTTTTCGTCTTAATTAAAACTCTTTTTCTCTCTAATTAAAGTACAACGTCTTCGTATTATTGGTTTTCTCTACCTATAAAATCCAGTTCCCATGCCGAACAACATTATTACATGTATTATATTTGGGTGTGTTCATATACATGGATATCTTGTGTACGATATCTGTAAAGGAGTACGACCTATCGCTATTCCTGAAAACAGACCAACCGCTAAGGAATTTATGCCTATCAAATTTTTCGACGGATATAATAGAGAACTGAATACGTACTTTTGCTTTTCAGTACTACCTTTTCATAAATTACAATCATTTGAGCAAAGATATGGATGGTTGCTGTTTCGTAAACTTTTCAAAATCACCAGATTGAAAAATCGCAGCCGAATTTTGATATGCAATTTCCGAAGGGCATTGTGTTGAAAGCAACTAGCGAAATTTTCAAAAAATAAGTATCAATTCATCGGCAACTAATAAATTTAAGAGTTGGCCGACAAATCGATTTTGCCATATAATTAATTTCTAAAACATTAGTTTAAAATGAAGATTACGTGGTTTAATATTTGGTTGATTAATTTGTTAGGTTCTCGTTTTACCCGCAAACGGAATAACATAAAATAGATCTCCATTCGGATGTCGGGGTAATGTTGCGTCTCGGTATAATAATCTGTTAAAGAGAGGTTTTTCGCAACAGGGATGAGAGCTAGACTAAATTATTTACGATCAAATGGTTTCTTTGGGGCGTTCTAAGGATTTCCCGTGGCGACTTGTACGAAAATCGACTTTTATTAATAGGTGTTTTTAAAATAAAATACTACGCTAATTCTAGGGTTAGCATTTTACTTTTGTTCCTTTGGGGCTTATTAGCACAATAAAGTATTTATCGTTCGATTTCTAATCTATTTTTCTTAAAGGGCTATTGTCTACAGATAACCGTTTATCTTTTAGGTAATCATGCGTTGGGACGTTTAATGATATCAAAGAATCGGGAGGGAAGCTTATGACAAAGAAAAAATAAGGTATTGTTTCGTAACGAAATGTCCATTTTTGTATAATTCGGAGCAATTAGGAAACCAATCTAAAAAAGGATTTTTATTTAAAGATCTACGGAATTAAGGAGAGTTATATTGTGGACTATTTAAGGTAGGATCTTCATGGAGAAATTAAGTGTGCGAAATTATGGAATTAAGGAATTTAACATTACTTCGGTAACAGTAATGAGTGTCGGAAAATAAGGTGGTATCATAGGTCATATATCATGATTATACTCACCTGCGACAACTTATCTAATTATCATCCTAAATCTATAAAAAAAATAATATTTGCAGCTTGAGTGTATAGTTTTCCATTTAGTATCGATAAGAAATGAATACTCCACAAATTTTCTAATTATGTAAATATCGACATCGATATCAGCAACCGAGCTCCTATTCAGAATTACCGTTATCGTTATGCATATGTGATCCTAAAATGTTAAGTAAGGAATCTATGGTGCATAACATCTAAAGTCATCAAACGTTTGTATTTTCTAAAATGTAAGAAGTAAGAAGCAAATATAGTGAATATATTCAGAAAGGGTCTATTCTATCATATCCACGGATTAAATTTTATATTTACTTCTTGGTAAAGAAGTTTCTACAATACATTTTAGAAAATACAAACGTTTGCTGACTTTAGATGTTATGCACCATAAATTGCATAATTCATTAGTTATCGAGTATTCGTCTATAATTGGGTTTTTAGTTATTTAAGAAAAGCTGCAACGCATTTTAGAGCAGTCTGAATCTATTTTGGAGAACTTAATCGTATTAAGAACAAAAAAGCAACTTGCTTTATAAAATATTATTTGCTTTGTAATCTCAACACAGATTCACTTTCTTTACGTCATTTGAATTTATTTTTCCATGAATTCAATTTTCTTCCAATAGACCGTCCAACCAGGTAGCATAATAAATTGTTCCAAAAACCCTCTTCTGCAAGATATTCAACATAGCGAAAGGAAACTATTTGAAATATGTTCTAATTTTTGTGTAAACTTTCGATATCAGTATTTATGCTAGACCATTCAGCTTTGTAATAAACATTCATAGCAGTATTTATTTTGCTTGACAGCGAGTACAAACATGAGTAAATTAAACATTTGAGCATTTATCGTTATCGTTAGATTTACTAATAACTGGCTTTTAATTAGAAGCATAAATAAACTTTAGTGTTGTTTACTTTGAATTATGTAATAATTTCAACACAACTTCGCATTTTCCACGTCGTTAAATTTAATTTTTCTGTGCTCCCACCCACAACCATGTTATTTTATAAATTGTTCCAAAACCTCTTTTTGCCTTTTCAAAAAGGACGCACCCAAAAGATCTAATATCGATATCTGTCACTCCCCTTAGAATATAAAAACGATCTGGTGACGCGAATTTGAATTGAAAAATTCTGAAAAAGAACTTATATAGAACAATGAATAACAAAAACGTTTTAATTAAAAGAACGCGCAGCATAAATAATGTGCCAACAGTAAAATAATTAATAAATGTGACTAAATTTGATGGATTATTTAATTCACTATTTCAAGTTTTTTGCGTGTTTATAAGCTTGCAATTCTTATCACACTTATTTAACAAGTAAAAATTGCTAATATGAGACTGTAATGCATGCAAATATATTGTTTCCGTAAAGAAAGCATGTATGGATAAATTCCAGGTTAGTTTTCTTTTTTATTGTTGCTTTCGAAACAGTCAGCCGAATATATCCTAACCGTTTAACCAATGATTAGCTTGTTTTAGAGATATCTTATATTTTTGCTGGTACTCTTGTTCGGTATTTTCGGAGGCACAAACGCATTAAGAGAGAGAGGTATTAGAAAAACAAATTTATGCTGATGCATGAAACACTTTTATGTTTTACCAATTCTAGAAGAAGTTTAAATTTATAATTAAATTTATCTTTTCTTTATCATAATGATCCGGAAAAGCATAATGATTCGAAAAAAATAATGTGTCAGGGAACAATTGCATTTCTTTACCATTCTCGACATATGCAAGTTGAAGAAGTTTAGCCGCTACGACGTCGGACAGGTTTATACTCTTTTTATGAATCTATTATTTAGTATTTCTAGGAATATATAAAAAGTAGCTCTTGGATCATGAAATAAAAGAATGAAATTTATTCTCCCAAGTAGTATACTACTTATAAAATTACAATGGTTGCCAAAAAAATTGTGAAATACAAATATCTCATTATTGAGGGAAACAAGATAATGATTTTTTTAATATTTATTGGTATTTCATTTAATGCAAGTGGATATATTAGTGAATGAAAGGCTATAAAAGCTAAGTATAAATATTTTGAAATTTTTATTTACTGTAAATAAAATACATTTTCATATCATACAACAAATATCAATCAA